CAGAAAAATGTAGCTGATTTTCAGAAAGATGGAGCCCTACCCTGAGGTCTACAGCTTTTAAGCTCTAAATCTTTCCTTTGACCCCTGTTCTGTGTGCATATCAGCGACTTCCCTGGAACCTAAGGACAGCTCATTAATTGGGAGACCCTGGTGGCTCTCCAAACAAGTTTCCTCATCTGTGAAGTACTCTCATGTCAAAGGAGAGCCTTTTGCTGATGAAGGAGCACTGGTTTTAGAGTCCATACCCTAGAATCTCATTGTTCTTTATAAGTCATTGCTGCCAGATCTCAAGCAGTTTTAGGGTGTGGGGGTGAGGAGCCTCCCCCTGCAAGTACTTGGCCCCGCAGGCCTGATGGTCACACTGCTCAGTCAGTTCTGTGTGCTGCTTGGCCACGATGGAGCTGGGAGAGGATAATGCAGTGCCAGGGATCGAACTCATGGCCTCACTCCAGCCATTTCCACTGTCACCCTAGTCTGAAATTTGTTTTTATATATTTTTTTTCCTTTCTTGAAAGGGGGACAATGACAACTGTAGAGATTAACTGTACAGATTAACTTAGAAAATATTAACAAAAGACAACATCTAGAAAGATATCTATATGTATATAAATATATATTAATATGTACCAATGAGCATTGTGCTGAATGCGCCCAGGCGACCAGGCTCTGACTGACCTGATCTTCAACTTGGTGGCACAGAAAGGTGAAGAGGTGTGTGTTGGGCTCAGTGGGGGCAATTCTACAGATTTCTGGAGGAATGCAGGAGTTAGTGTTCCTAAAGCAGACATGACAGGGGGTGACTTCTCCCTCTTTGGTCCATCTTTACTCTTTATCCTGCTCCCCATCACCCCTCAGAGGAGACCCTTAGGTCCTTCAGCTGAGAGATGATCACGTGGTTGAGGAGTACCAACTTCCCAGGTTGGTAAGTGTCTGGCACCCAGCTCCAAAAGAACAGCCCCAATGTGCCGTGTTTGCCTGGTTCTGTGGTATAAATACACTCACTGTGGCTGATTCTCAGCTACCTCCGTGACATCACGGGAGGTTGTTGGGAAGAGACACAACACAGTTGGGCTTCTGCAAGCTGGTACAAATCTACCAGTGCTTTTACTTTCTTTTTTTTTTTCCAAGAACAAAATTGATTAAGGTATTATGGTTTATACTAGGGTTCATATTGTTTTGTGCATGGTGAGGTCTATGTTGCTCTCTTCTGGGTGCTTTATTTCTGAGTCTCTGGATCATGACTGTTGATGGGATTACATGGTGTTAGGGGGTAGTTTGTGGGTGTGACTGCCAAGTTACTGGTAAACTTGGGAGATGGGGGAGGAGGAAGCCCATTCCCACTTCGAGTGAACTTGGAGATTTCAGTCACACCAGATTTTTTTTGTTTTTCTGGCTTAGGGGTTGAGGAGATGGCACAAAGTGTTGCTGCACAGGCCTTGAAGGGAAGAGGCCCATAGTTGTACCTTGGGTAACATACCGCTTCCCTGCTTTTCCAGTCCAAGGATTAGGAAGGGTGACTAGGCCCCTCCAATCACTGAGGAGACTCTGTGAAAATATTTTTCCCCCCTGGCTTTTTTTTTAAGTTTTCAAAATATATCTCACAGAATGTGAATCTTTAGAAATGGAATCTGTGTTACAGACATAACACGTGAGGAAGAAGTAGGACAGTGTGTGCTATCTGCAAGTGAAGCCCGGCAGTGACCTCTCTGGGGCACTGGGTGGGTCTGGCTGGGCTCAGACTCCCTCAGAGCAGCCTTCCCTCAGCCTCTTCCACAGCCGCCTCACAGGCACTGACAAATCCCCTCCCCTCGTACCAAGTCTTGGTTAGAGTGCAAATAGTAGAGGCAGGTCTCCGGAGAGGAAAGAATAGCTGTGCCAGGACGCTGACATATTAGACATTCTGTGTCCCCAACCCTGCTGCTCCCTGCACCCCCTGCCCTGGAGTCTGTGGAGGACCCCACACATGGAGTCAGCCCCAAACCCCGAGACTTGGTCTCTGGCCTGTGCCCACATAGGCAGGGGGGAGGGGAGCACCGGGTCCCAGGTAGGGCATCTGTGGTGGCTACATGTCAGGGCTAAGGGTGGCTCCAGCAGTGCCTCTGTGGGAACATTTATCAGGTTGTGAATGAACCACTCACCGGTCATGAGGAGCTTACTCAGGGACCTCAAACTTCCCCTGCTGACCAGTCTGTGTTGGGTGGTTTTTATTCAAGACACAGGTCGAGTCCAGAAGACTCAGCTGATGGACTCCAGCCGGTGGACTCAGGAAGCCGAGGTAGTCTGTAGCAGAGGGCACAGGTTTTGAAATGTCTCTCAAGTCCTCTGACAAGCCCTTTCGCAGTGGATGGGCCATCTTTGTCACCACCACAGTGATGTTGGAGCCCGCCAGCATCATCACTGTCAAGCCAGCCACCCGCAACACACCCCTCCCCCCAGCCTCCCCCCCCCGCCCTCCCAGCCCCCACCCCCATGTGCTCGGCCTCCACCTAAAGGTGTTCCCCATGTGACCACAGCTTCCTTAAAACAGATCTTTATTGAGATGTCATTCATGTCGTGACCAGTTGGCTGATTTAAAGGGCACAGTTCAGAGGTTTATAGGACCATCAGCAAGTTGGGAATCACTGTTAAACTTAGAATATCTTCCTCACCCCTATACCATCTAGCTGTTTCTTCCTTCAGCCTACTCCCTCCTTCCCAATACAAGCACTTAGCCTCCTTTTTTGTTTTTGTTTGGAGCCACACCCAGCAGTGTTCAAGACTTATTTCTGGCTCTGTGCTCAAGGATCACTCCTGATAATGCTCATGGGATCATTATGTGGTACAAGAGATTGAACCCAGGTTGGCCACATGTATGGCAAGTGCCTTACCCACCATACTGTCTCTCCAGCCTCTTTTTGCCTATTGGTGGATCTTTCATCTATTAATTTGTTTTGTTTTGGGGGTCACACCTAGATTGGTGTTCAGGAGATTGTAAGGTGTCAGGATTCAAACTCCATGCTTTCGGATGCAAGGTGATGGTTCTTCCACAGAGCCTGGATTCCCAACCTGGATATCTCACCTCCATGGAGATATATATTTCCGGTCATTCTGTGTCTTATTCCTTTAACTTGGCATCATGGTCATCTGTGTGGTTTCTCGAATCAGTGTTTCAATCCTCTTTGTGGCTGAACAGTATTCCATGGTCTGAGTTATACCGTATTTTGTTTATTCTGCTTGGCATTTGATGGTTATCTGACTTGCTTCTTTTTATGGGCCATTATGAATAATACTTCTTTGGGCATGCATGGGCCAGGTTTTGTATTGATGCATCTGTTCATCCGTCTCATCTATAAAAAAACTAGACTTTTAGCAGTATATAGGTAGTGCAGGAATTGGAACAGGGGTTGGTCTGCCTAACCCCAGTTTGATTCTTGGCACTACATGGCTTCTTGACTCTCACCCAATGTAGACGGGTGGTCCCCTCAGCATTGCTGGGTATAGCCCTAGTGGTGCCCAGCATGATAGGACTGAAGCAGCATCAAGTTCTCAGTCCCTAGCACTGAACTGCCAGCCCAGTTGGCAAACACCCACCAGAAGTAGCCCTAAGACTCCCTGAGCACCACTCAGGAGACCCACCACCCCCCAAAAGAAACAGGGACTGTTATATATGATTACATTATGTCTTTGTTTCAGTGCCTTCAATAACACCCCACCGTTCTTAAAACCAGGTTAAAATTCTTCCCTTGTTAGACAAGGCTTGGCCTCTCCCCATGTTCTTCTGTTCCTGCCAAGAGGTTCTTCTGAAACACAGCCTCCCTCCTTGGCGGATCTGGAATTTTCCTCTCCCTCCCCCAGCCCACTCACCTTGCCATTCCTGCTGAAAGGCATCCTCCTCACAGAAGCTCCTTCTTTCCCCCCGGAGTCCACCTGCCACAGGTTCTCCTGGAGTCTTCCCCCTACCCGCCACCTCAGCACTCACATGCAGCCAGGAAAACTAGAGGATCCATTGCGGTGTGTTTGTGTGTGTGTGTGTGGGGGGGGGGGGGGGTTCTTTGGTATTTTTGGAGTCACACACGGCAATGCTCAGGAATTACTCCTGGCTCTGCACTCAGGAATTAACCCTGGCAGTGCCTGGGGGCTCATACGGGATGACAGGGATCAAACCCAGGTTGGCCACTTGTATGGCAAACACCGTACCCTCTGTGCTATTGCTCTAGCTCCAAAGAAGTTCTTATTCCCTAGCTGTTCTAAGGCACCTCACAGCCAATGGACACGCTTCAGCACTGGGTTAACAGTCACCCAATGACAACTAGATGATGACTACAAATTCTTCACTTTTAGGTCATTTGTCTCCGGGAGACTTTCTCTTGTTCTCATCTTGGCCCCCTTCTGGCTTTGCTTCCTTCCTGTGTGCCCTCATGGTACCCATCCCACCAGTTGACTCCCTAGTCTTGTGTTGTGCTCCCACCATTGACTTTCACCCATGGCCCATTAGAATACCACAGGGTACCCACAATAGAGAAACTGCTGGTCTAGATGTTTCCTTTTGTTTTGGCATCTTCCTCAGGGAATATTCCCGCAATTGCTGAGGCCAGGAAGATCCCCACATTCTCTCCCATTACCCCCCTCTTCCTTCCCCTCATGCCTGAGAGATAGCTGCTTAGTACAGAATGGGTCTGGGGGAGGTCTCTCATCCTAAGATACCCTCGGGCATCACTCACTGAGGGCTGAGGGCCCAGGCTGCCCCTCAGGACAGGGACTGTTCTTAGAGTCTCCTACTTGACTGTGTGGCAGTGGGAGCGGCCGTTTTCCAGGTGTGGTGAAGAGGGGTGAGCTGAGGAGGTTGCTTCTCTGACCCGGGGAGCTACACGGCATCCCCCCCCCCCGAGGACACAGATGGCCTGTCTGCATGTCTGGTTTGGAATGCCATTCCTGAGGGCACTCCCAGAGGAAACAGCAAGGCACCCCTTCTGAGACTGAATTGCTTTTTCAAAAAAGCCTGTTTTCGTTTCCCCCCACAGATATGCACTTGTTTGGCCATTACCCAGCACATGACGCCTTCTATCTCGTCGTGTGCAGTGCCTGTAATCAGGTCGTCAAGCCACAGGTTTTCCAGGCGCACTGCGGTAAGTGGACTCCTGCTCCGGGATGGTCGTCTCCTCCTAGACCCCCGCCGCCGCCGCCACCACCATCACCACCACCACCGGGGCCCAGCCCTGGTCTGTCTTAGCCCAGGACTGAGTGTATAGCTCTTCCAGGGGCTTTGGGGGGCTGCCTCCCCTCCCAGGGTGATTATTTTAGGAGCCACCTTCCCTCTGTTCAGGTGCTCATGAGAGAAAGCTGGAAATGGCTCGGGTGGGAAACCAGCCTTGGTGACAGAACCGGCAGGAATGATGGTTGGAGGCATGGCTCCTGCCGCCTGGTGTTGGGGCGCCAGAAAGAGGGGTCCCAATGGATCTCTCCAGATGCACACAAAGGACGGGCGGGAGCCAAGGGCAGCCAGGGTTCAAGAGGTTGGGAGGTGGGGATGGGGACACACAGGTGCCACCCCCAAGAAATGCCGTGTGCTTCTAGCCTCAGTTGCAGCTTCTCTTTTCTGAGGCTTGCTCGGAAAACCCAGGTGTGTTTGGAATTGGCTGGATTCCATCTGGATCTTCCCACTCTCAGTCCAGGAACTGCCCCCGGCTGGTCAGCAGCAACATGTGAGTTGCTGGTCAGCAGCAACATTGCCCTGCCCCTCAGCATGTGAGCCAGGGATGGAAAACAGATCCAGTCCCATATGGCTGCTCCTCCAGGGAAGCAGTAAGCAGCGTAAACATTCGACTCCAGAGCCCCAGTTACTTAACCTCTCCCGGCGGGATATGTCTTACCTTTAAATAGAGCATGGGGCCAAATTATTTCCCAAGCTGTAATATGTTAAGGACCAGGATGTTTAAAAATGGTTAAGGGTTTGGAGTGATAATGCAGTCAATAAGGCATTTGCCTCACAGGTGGCCAACCAGAGTTTGAGCCCCAGTACCCCATATGGTCCTCTGAGCCCCACCAGGAGTGAATCCCTGAGCCCAGAGCCAGGAGTAAGCCGTGAGCAATGTCAGATGTGGCCCCAAAACCAAAAAAAAAAGTTTAAAAATTTCTTAAAATATTTTTTATTCAAAACCCTCCTCCCTTTTGATGAACATGAAATCTGAGTGCCCTCCTTTACTGTTAAATTTAAAGCATGTTAAATATTTTGCCTAAGGGAAAAAAATCAAAGCAATTATAATATTGAATGTGCTCTTGAAAATTATAGGTTTCCCCTTTCTCGCTCTCAGAATTTCTAACCTTCCCCCACCCCTTTGGTTATCATGACTCTTACGAATTGACATCAAATAATTGGCGCTTCCCAGTGCTTGTCAGGAAATGGATTGGGGACCATGGAGTGGTGTGGTTAGAACCCAATCTCATCTGTCAATATGCGTTTCTGTACATGAATATGGCACATGTGTGTATGCAGATATACACATGTATGTGAAATCTGCACCTGTGAATCTGTTGTGGGTAGATTTTGTATTTGATATAGAGGGAAATTTCAGCCTAAGGGCACTTTCCCTGACTCTCTGACCCACATGCCCTGAGAGAGGCCCTAGAAAGTGTCCAGTCCATCTCCCACTTCCAATGGCCTTTGGTTTTCTCATCTCCTCCACGAGGAAGTGATTTGGCAGTGGGGAGGTAAGGGGACTCTTAAGGTGCTTACATTTCATTTCTGGTGGGGCAAGGCATCAAGCACCAAGCGCCATCCTTCATTGGCGCTTGGTGCTTGATGCTCAATGATGAATGGTCCTCCCCTTCCACCAGAAAGAGAGCAAAGGTCAGAGCTCTGCAAAGGGAAAGTGTCAGAGCCCCTGTGGAGGTGCTGGAAGTGCTGGAAGTGCTGGAAGCTAAGGTGACAGATGGGGATACCAGAAATGGAGCCCCACAGCTTGGGGGCCAGTGGGTAATACACTGTGGCCAGTTGCCTCTGCTAGGCTAGATGGAGGAGGGTGGTTGGGAGGAAAGGAATACGCTTGCCGTTCACTCATTCATGCACTCCCACACTCTGGGAATGTGCTTCTGCTCTGGGCACTGGCAAGCAGCCAACTACATAGCCATGAATCCCCCAAAGCCACCCAAACCTTCCCTGGGAACTGAGCTCTCTGTCAGAGTCTGTGATGAAAGGAACTGAGAAGGACTGATTGGGGGCCCAGGCTGTGCCTGCAGGCCTGGGTTTTAGCTGCTGGGCAGGGGACCGCTGCTGTGTGGCACAGTGCTGGTCCGGAGGGATGTAAAGGTTGAAAAGCATGAGAACATCCGCCGGGGGCAGAGCCCCTACCTGCCTGCCAATGAGGCATCTAGGGCTTGGCTCCCTCCGTCCTGAGACCGAGCGGAGTGCAGAAGGAGCAGGGACAGCTCAGTGGCCATCTGCTGTGAGCAATAGCAATCAATTAGTTTGCGGGTTTGGGGTTGCTCACCTCATCCTGTCTCCGGTGGCTTTCTTGCTGAACCAGCTGACCCATGGCAATGGAGACATAAGCACAGCTGAGAGAGGGCGGCCCTGCACCCCCTCTGCCTTCCAGGTGTGTGTCCAGTGGTTCCCCAGGCCAAGGGAGGGCAGGGAGGCGCTCAGAACGGTCACAGTTCTTTAAGGAAGGGGAGAACTTCCTCATTGCCCTAAGAATTCCTCCTAGAGTTTTCTGGCATTTCTCTGTGGGGGCTGGCCTGTGTTGCACTCACCTGGCCTTCTGCAGCAAGTTGATCCAAACACCCGTGGGTAAGCGCCACACTGTGCTTGCTATGACTTTGAGCACAGCAGCCTGTGGGGCCCCACCTGTTTGAACCTAAGATGCCTTCCCACAGTCCACAGTCCTCCAGAGTGAGGCAAGATTGTGGACCACTGGGCCTCCCACCTCTGCACCTCTTCAGAGGGCTATCTTCTCCACCCTGGCCAGCCCCCAGGCCTGAACTGTCCACTGTAGATTTCCAACTTAATTTTTGTCAACGGTGCAACTTTTGTTCCAGTGAAACCGCAGGTGACCCGATTAGTTCATAAACGGTTCTGCCCACTCTGAGGACATTTCAGTTAATGATGAACAGTGTGGGTGACCTGAGAGGCCATATTGGGACTAGGCGTGTCATCAGCTGGACCTTGTAGGTCTGTGTACCTGTGCTGAACTTCACACCATGGCATGATGGGTTGATGTAAGTCTCGGAATGTAACCTCACTGATATGCGACTCATGGTTATATACAAAGCAGAACTGCCAGGTTTAGACTTGGGCTGACAGTCCACGCTCCAATCTACTTGGCCACCTTCTGACTGCCCCTCATCTCCTCTAGGCCTCCTTGGAATGGTTTGGTTTGGTTTGGTTTGGTTTGGGAGAGGGGGGTGGAATTGGACCATACCCAGTGGTTCTCAGGGGCTATTCCTAGCTCTGTGCTCAGGTGTGACCCCTGGCAGTGCTTGGGGGAAAATCATATGCGATGCCTGGAATTAAACCAGGGTTAGCCAAAGTGGCAACGTGCAAGCAATCAAGTGCCTTACCTCCTGTACTATCTTTCCAGCGCCCATAAAATGGTTTTGGAATTTTCTTACAGTGAGAGAATGTTGCGTTTAGGAGGAGGCAAAGGGACTCACCCATTGGCTGTGTGGCCTTGAGTTTTCTCTCTCCCTTGTCTGTCTGTGAACTGGCTATTCTGCCTGTGTTCTGGGGTGGCAGGTACAAAGTGACGAGTGAGCCTCCCAGGAGATGGATCACTGGTTTCAAGCACTTGCCTGGCAAGGACCTGGCCACAAGTAGAAACCCAAGTCCTGCCTGCAGAGCACTGAGGTGATCCCAACAGCTCTGCTTTCTGCAGTTTCGGCCACATGGGCCTGGAGAGGGCTCAGTGACTCAGGAAACACCCAGGGCAAGAGAGATGCCCTGAGCTTAGTCCCCAGAGCCATCACATACTCAGAGACCATTCTGAGCACCCAGCACATCCCAACAGAAATAGCCGCACAGAGCAAGCAGTTAAGTGGCTGCCTCTCACCATCAGTCTGCACTCTCTGGGCCCCTGCCTATCTCTGCTGTGCTTCTCATTCTCTGTGGTCTCTCTCTCTCTCAGCACAGCTCCCACTTTCTAAAATCTTGCAAGACCAGACAGACACCTCTTGGCTCTGTGCTCCCAGCACTTAGAAGTTCGGGATCCTCATCCCAGGCCTGCAGGAAGCAGTGCTGTGTGCCCCCAAAGGCTAGCATGGTGGTGGGGGTCCAAATCCTAGCTCCGCCTCAGCCCTGCCTGTATCCCTCCACTGCTTGTCACCTAGATTCTGTTCTCTTGGAAATGTGCTTGGCTCAGCACCTGTGATTGGCTGCAGGACTGGAAGGATTGGACCAAATGCAGAGAGAGAGGGAGGCATGGCGGGTGGCATTCAAGAGTGTGTCTGCCTAAGCTAAGCTGAAAAAAAAAAAAAGGAAATGTGTATGCAGGTGTGTGTGTGCACACATGCAGGCATTTAAGCAGTTGGTTCTGGGGACTTTGGAAATTAATGAAACATAAAATTTTACACTTGTTTTACCAGGAAGCACGGCTTCTCCACAGCACTATTTACATGAGGGATGTGAATGGGTGTTTGTGTGTCAGAAGAGCTTTCTTGACCTCTGTCTGCCGCATGTGTTAGCAGCCCCACCTCCAGTCAGGAAGGCCTAGCATTGCCATCGCCCCTCAAGCAGACCAGCTCATTCCCAGTTGAGAACCACTGCTGTGAAATATAGCAATCTTATTTTGATATCATTTTCTGTACTTTTGCACATTTAAGTTTTTCTCCAAATGGGAATGTGTGCACATACGTACTAAGCCCAGAAATTCTCTCTGTGGGATTACATAGCAATGTGTAGAAACTTTACTATTTCTACCTCCATGGAATTGGTCATGTAGCAAGATGACTCCCGCATCATAGTCATATATGGAGCAATCAAACAAGATGTCATTTGTGTGTGTGGTGGGGGGGGGGGGGGGGCACACCCAACTGTGCTTAGGACTTACTTCTGGCTCTGTACTCAAGGGTCATTCCTGGCAGGACTCAGGGGACCATATCAGGTTTGGGGGAATAGAAACAGGTTCAGCTGCAT